AGTTTAATGTTTAAGTTGGTCATTTTTACCCCAATTACATGTAAGCCTTCATAGAGGTTATACAAAATCTAATCTAAGTCAGAAAAAACAATACACTTATGAAACGATTAAATAAAGTATACCTAAAAATTATATTCAGTTATCGAAAACTAAACAACAGTGCTCAAAACCGTTTCAACAAACAAAAAAAAACTTTCAACAAAAAAAACTCTTGTTATGGATTATCAAACATTGCCTTTCGTCTCCCGATAGCAACGATGATGACTGATTATACATTTTTTCCCTCTACTTTCAAATATTGTTGTTAGTTAATTATTTTTGAGATATCGGCGATGAATCTATTTACCCATGAACCGTTAAACCCCGCCAATTATAATATATTAGATATCTGTATCTAATAATGTTGACAAAAACTTTTTTTATATAAAACAACTGGCAAACCCGACGAACTCCGTTTCGCCACCAGATGGTTCCGTGAGAAAGATGAAGAAATTTTTTGTTTGTTTTATATCTGAGAAGGAAAAATGTTATTTAATTATACAACAGTAATGAATTTATTTCGATTACAAAAATGAAGTGTTTTTTAGTTGAACTTCTCTAAGTAAATGAAAGTGAATCCGCAAATTATCCGTTTCATTGAAGTGTTCTTTGGTAAACCACATTTTTTGTTTTTTGGTCTGACGTTAACACAAACAAAGCGGATGGTTTTCCAACACGTAAACAGGCAACGTATAACTGCCCATGTAAAAAACAATGATTTTCTAAATAATCTATTTGAAATTTATTCCGCAAACACTAAGCGAATGGCCTTGCGACTTGTTATTGCAAACGCAAGGCGAACTGGAAATTGCAATCGTTTGAAGTGAAACGGAAGACCAGTCGGAATCATTGGTATGTCACCAAATCGCCAGCAATTTTTGATTGAATGGTGAAATTCAGTGCGTGTACATCATTATTCTTTGTGGCAAGAACTGCTCGTTGACTTAACCAAGCATAATTCTGATAATTCTCACTAATGTCATTACTCGAATTTTCAATTACGGTGCGTAATTAAAGCAGCTTGCATTAAGGCACAATGCTATGCACCACTAATTGTCTTAGCTATAAACCTTGCGGAGCCCGTGACCTTTCCAACGAATGCTAAATTGTCGAAATCGGTTCGTGCGTTCTGTTATTTGTCAGAGTTATTTTGTCAGGAAGGAAAACCCGACTTATTTTTATATATGTAAAAGATAGAAGAAGAAGATAATCTATTTGAAATTATTTAAAACAATTGTTGATTATTTTTATTACTCGAATTTTTAATTACGGTGCATGAAGTTTTCTTAGTTATAAACCTTGCGGAGCCCGAGACCTTTCCAACGAATGCAAAGTTGTCGAAATCGGTTCGTGCGTTCTGGAGTTATTTCGTCAGGAAGGAAAACCCGACTTATTTATATATATATAGAAGATTACATAACAATTTCCAAACCTTTGTCAAAATTTCTCTTCCCTATTCTCACCTGGTTAAACATTACCTTGTCTTATCATGTCGTCATTTATTACGGACTGGCAAGGTTGACTGACTCTTACCGTCCGGCTCTTCGCCGTCTGTCCTCGTCAGTCCGCAAACGAGAGTCGCCTCGAATGGACTTGTTTGAAGCGCGATCGCGACTTTTGACATTTTCGAGAAAGAAAGCGAAAACATTTGTAGAAACTGATAGTGAATTTCTAATGGAAAGATGTGATTAATAGATTGTGTGAATAAATTTAAAATTAAACTTTATTCAAGGGTAATGGTTAATAAAATTAGTGGTGCATGTCTTTGAGGATGGAGGTTAAGATTTTATGAAGAACGAAGTTACTTTTGTATTAGATATTTGCAATTTTGAGAAACAAAGTATAACTTAATTTTTGTAATAAGTACTTACACTCGATAGAGTAAATATTTTCTTCTGTCAGATTAAATTTCTTGTAAAAAGGTTGTAAAAATTTCTTGGAAACATTTTCAACTTGCTCTATTTGTTATTTAGTGTTGTCTTATTATATAATCTAATAATTAAGATACTAGCTTACATTTAATTTTTGAAAAAAAATTGATAAAAAAAGAAAAGAATAAATTTTAAAAATCAAAGTATAATTTTTGTAATAAGTACCTACACTAAAGAGAGTAAATATTTTTTATCAGGTTTAATTTCTTTTAAAATCGCGTTTTTAACTTGCCCTATTTTTTATTTATTTTTCTTGTTTTATAATCTAACTATTAAGATATTAGAATGCATATGATTTTTGAAAAAAAAATTAATAAAAAAAGAAAAGAATAAATATTTTCTTTTCTCAGATTCAATTTCTTGTAAAATCGCGTTTTTAACTTGCTCTATTTTTATTTATTTTTCTTATTATATCATCTAATATTTTAGATATTGTATTATATAGGATTTAAAAAAAAATAGATGATTTTTTTTATGATAAAATTTAGTGGTGCATGGCATCGTGCCTTAAGGCAAATTGCTGGAACTTCCCGTAACGTAATTCATAATCTTCAAAAGTCTTAAAGAATATTGAAAGCTGATTGAATTAGATTACAAAGAAATTTGAAAATTTGGATAATTTGAACTTTTTTGACAAATTTGTTTTTTTTATAATCTTGAGTATTTTAATTTTGAAATTTTTTGAAATCTAGTATTTCTCTCACAGCAATTACATATCTATTTTAGAGACAAAATTTCAAAGCGCGTAAGCGCCGCGTAGCAGTCTAATGTTTAAATATTATAAATCTTTGTACGGAACCCATAGAAATGTGAACAAAATTTATACTTATTCTTCAAATCTCTATACAATATCTGATAATTTGATGTGCATATGTCCAATGATCATTTTTGACCGCCAAATGGCATTTTTTGCACATTTTTCAATTTATCACCGAAACGGTTGAACCTGCCTTCCCAAAAATTTAAACAGTTCTTCATTTAGTCAACACAAATAAAATGTTTTTTGAATCATTCAAATTGGACGTTCCGTTCTTTCAAAAACTGAATTACATTTTTTTTGCGCTTTTTGCCTCGTATCTCCGAAACGGTTGGACCTGCCTTTACTGAAAACTAATCAAAATGTCTCTCCATCCATAAGAATCGAATGTTTCTGAATCATTCAAATCGGTTTATCCGTGCGTCCGGGACGAAAAAATGTATCCGCACATACACACATACACAAACACATCAATTTTTTCAAAAAGCTTTGGAACCTAAAAATATGCAAAAAAATCCATTTTCGATTTTTCTAATTTTTAAATACATTTGAAAGCAAAAGGTCACGATGTTTGTCCCGAATGGACTCACAAATTTCTGAATAGATTGTACAAAATTTTAAATCATAATCAAAATATACAGTTTTTTAGTTATATGTAAAATTAGAATTTAAAATTTTGTAAAACTTGTTAATGGCTAGTTTGTAAAAAATGAGGCCAAATAAATAAAAAAAAATCATAATCAAAATAGTATATTATTGGAATTTTGTCACTTTGGAAGAACGGTATTCAACTCTGAGAATGCACAAATAAAAGTAGTATCAACATCCTGATCAACACTGAAAAGAACAATCCATTGACTTGTATTTTTTCACCAAATTTTAAAATAAATTCTATTTGATCTCTAGAATAAATTCCATAACCTGACAAAAGAAACGACTGGGCAAAGTAGAAAAATATCTGTGGCCATGTCTTTCCATGTCTTTGGAAATTTGTTATTAGTTACTTGGTAGCAATTAAATCCAAATTGAACGAATAGTATTGAATTTTAAATATACACCAATAAAAGTAACAAGAACATCCTATAATAAATAGGAAAATTAGGAAAGAATATCTTACCCACTGATTTTCCTACACCAAATTGTGTCTACTCTATCAAGATCCAAAATATATATATAACGTAACAAAAACAGACTATTAAGGAACTGCTTTCGATATATCCTAAAACTCGGTAAAACTCTTGCCAACAAATACCAGAACAAAAATGCCCTTAAAAATTTGCTGTTATTAATTTACCTTCGCAAAAACTCATTTTGGGCATAAAAATTCTCAAAAAAAAGTTTGTGACAAATCAAGCAACTTCTTTGACTATCTATTTTAGAAAGCATGTTGATAAAATTAATAAAACACTTTTAAAGGTGATTTATGCAAAATTAGTTAATAATTTATTTTCGTCCTTCGTCAACTTTTCACGTTATCCTAATTTCAACACTTTATTCGATTTCTCCAGCCTGTCAATAATACTTTAGATTATTATTGACAGACGGATTGACCAATTGATCATGTTGTACAACCAGAAATTTGACGTCAATTTTAAATGTAGCATATAATTTCACGGACATTATTTTGTATATTCATTAAAATGTAAATGTGGGCCATGATCGCCAAAATTTATTCAGAAGTTGAAGGCACCGAGCTTCCTTAATTATAAATGTTAGTAATAAAATCGATTAAAATATTTTGGATAATTCCAATTTGGATAGAATTAGATTTAATTAGTCGGAAATTCCAGTATTACATTGAAAATTTGAATAAAAATCACATTGGAAGTTCCAAAAACCGGATCAAAGTGCGAAATTTGTCTGATAAATTCAGACACTTGTGGTAAATAAAAATTACCAGTATAATTTTAGACTTATGCTACCTAGAAACCAGTAGTATATAATATCATAAAATCAAATCAAATTAGAAATTCAATTGAATATTGATACATAAATTTTAATAATTCGAAATATGAGTAAAATTTTTAATTTCCTTATATATATATATATATATAAATTTTAATAAAAATTTATAATAATTTTCAGCACATCTTTAAACAATTATATTCCGTATAATTTTTTAAAGAAAATTCACAACTACAACTAAACTTGCTTATAAAATATAAGTGAACTTTAGTGACTTTAGTGATAAAAAAATAATAATTTTGTGTTTGTGTGTTTAAAATAGAAGTGAAAATTAAGCAAGAAATTGTGCGAAAGTGTCAACCACGGAAACGGAATCAAAAATGGAATCCGACCACAAGAATCATCCAAATCCGAGTGAAAGTTTCCATCTGAATCAATTCGATGGATCAATGGTCTATGTATGTTAATTTTATAAAATATAATTTATAAAAAAGTATAAATAGATTGCAAACACGGCCGCTTTGCTATAACCTCAAACTTAATTGTTTCCGCACTCCATAGAGGCGCCACTAACTGTAGCACGTAAATTTACCTCTAGGTTTAATTCTAGATAAATATAAGAAAAGATAAACCTTATTAATTTGATGAGAATAAAATATACATATGTTTTCAACTAAATTGCAAATATGTTTTTACAAAAATATATTTAAAAATGTTAAACGTTTCAAGTACGAGTCATCATAATTAGTAATAATTTTTTTAAAATGGAATGTGGGCACAGTAAACCCTCTGTTGAGTGCGGAAAACACTAAAATATGGTGAAGCACATTTGTTCTATTTTTACCCCCATGTTTGTTTCTTATAAAAGAATGATTTATAAAAAAGTATTTGTTGTTACATTTTTATTTAATAATTCCTGTTTGGATAGGAATAGAGTCCATACATCAATATTTAGGGTCTTATTGTTAGAAAAATAAAAGAGGAATCCTGAAGAAAAACAGGATTTATTGATAAAGAGTAGTGTTTATATATTAAGAGTAGGGTCAATAAAAAAATAGTGGCCTTAAAAAAGTGACTAGAGTTTTTAACTCAACTTTTTTTTCTATTCTCGAATTTTATAAAAATTTATTTAATTTATTATTGTTAATTATATAAGTTTTTAAATTTTCTATACACTTTTTATAAGTCATTAATTAGTGTTAAAATACAGAAAAAACTTTAAATTAAAGACAGTCATAATATTCTAATTTTTGATTGTGATAAAGTGGGAAGTCTTAAAAAATTATCAATTAACATCTAACCATATCCGTGATTTTAGCCCTTCAAACAATCTGAAGAAAAGCGATCATTATTATAATTTAGTGTTGCATTTGTATGAACTAAGGACAAGTTAAAGATAATTGTTTCGAAAAAATAACGACTCCCTGAAATATTTTTGTTTTGCACTTGTTTTTGAAATTATCGAATTTTTTAAAAATAACCATATAAATATAAATCAAAAGTCTATAAATGAAACTTATAAGTAAAAATTTCACGTAAAATAGAGGCGTAATACTTGACGTGGATGCTATAGCAGTCATAGTACATAACGATTAAAATATCATAATCTGTCTCTCCTTATAAACCGATTTTAATCAAATTTTGGATATAACAACTAATTTAACAATAAAATTACTGACAATTTTTGTACTTTTGCTGGAATTTCTGCTTCTGCTGTAAAAATTAATTTTTAAGATTTAATTATTTACGGTATAAGTCTTAAATATCGATTATTCAACCGTTTTGACTTTGACCAAATTGTGTCACGTCCAATCTAGGTCATCTGCCTCATAATCCAAAAAATCAGTTATATAACACCTAAAATAACATTTTCGGCCGCAGTAACACCAAATAGATATACTTTTTAAAATTGTCAATGACATAATACACTTCTTGTGAGCAAATAAGTGAAAGCTCGATCCGACACACACTTGCAACCACACACACACACACGACAACAATTCTTGTGCAACTTGACATACATCGGTCAAGATATTTTGATTTAATGAAATTAATTGTAAGATGGGAAATAGGGGCGGGAAATCGCTGGAAAAGGGAAGAAATAAGTTTGGGCCTTACTTAGAACATTTAACCACCTACAACATTTCATTATTATATTTTATACTATCTTTATATATAGTATGTCTTGTACTATTTTTTCAACTGACATTTTCATTCTTTCATTTTTCTGATCTGATTTACAATTCTAATCTTGATTTTCTTATTACTTCTAATTTTATTCCATTTCAACTCAACCGTTCAAATTCTATTTAATTTTTATTTAACCACTTTTAAATTCCACTTCTTACTTCTATGCCTATGCAATTTTTTAATCAACAATTCATTGTCATTATTCCTATGTCATTGCCAAGAATCGATCCAAAGATCACAGTCGTGTAAGTAGAGCTCGCTACTGACTGAGCTATTAGGTTCGGGAAAATATTTTTCCAAAAATGTAAAATCTAGTCTCAAAGATTGATAATAATAATGATTATGATATCTCAATACTTGATTTCATTATTACAGATATAGATTTTTCAAAAAATGAAATTTTTGAGATTTGAAAGTGTTAATTTTCAATATTTTTAAAATTATCTTCCTAGTTTCTTATGTAGCATTTAAATTAAATTTATCGATAAATCAAAATTTTGGTATGTTTTTTATAATTAAAGCTTAAAATTGAATAAAATAATTATCAATCTTAAATTTGGCAAAGTTATAGTAATCGTCCAAAAATCGAAATTGAAATTGTTTATTAATTTTTACGTTTCAGAGGTTTTGGCATACCATAGCAAAAATGGATACGTGTGCGTGTGCGTGTGTATTTGTATGTGTGGATATAATTTTTTGTCTTTGATTTTCGAGATCACAGATCAACCGATTTGAATGATTCAAAAAAAAAACATTTGATTTGTATTAATTGGGAGACATGCTGATTAGTTTTTGGCGAAGGTATGTCCATCCGTTTCGGAAATAAAGAGCAAAAAGACAATAGCAAGTCAGTTTTCGAAAATATTGTAATATTTCACTTGTATTGACGTAAGGAAGAATTGAGTAAATTTTTGTTTCGGAGAATCAGCAAAAAAGTTTTAAAAAAAGCAATTTTGCGGTCAAAAGTATCAAAAACATTCAAGAAATTTCAAAATTTTCGAAAAAAAATATTTTGAAAAAATCGATTTTCAAAAAATTTCCAAATTTTCAAAAAAAATTTTAGTTTTCAAAAAATGGCAGTATTTTAAAACAATTTCCTGGCTAACAAGGCCACTAGTTTAATACAATATGACATTTTTCAATATTTATGCAAAAAAAAAATCATACTCTATTAAATGTTGCATTTTGTATTTTTTTATATTCCCACAAATTGCAAAATTAAATTTGGAAAAAATACCTTTTGAAATACCAAATTTTGAGAAACCTACCTCTGACCTTTTTATAAGGTAATTTTCTCAGATTTTGCTTTATCTAGAATAATCTTTTTTTTGATACTTTTTGTAAATATTTACGCTACGATTATATGTTTTATAATATTTGCAATATATTTTTTTATAATACTATGAACAATTTATGTCATTAAAATAAGCATTATATATAATTTATATCGTTTTTATCAAAACTTTTCATAAAAAATCGACACGCCAATGTCGATACTTCCGTACACAAATTTCAGAAATATTTTGCATTGCAAAATAATTTTGCAACTAACCAAATATATATATATATATATATATATATATATATATATATATTGTATAATCTTCTATTCTATCCGGTTAGATAAATATTATTATGATGTCTCAAAAGAAAAAATAGAGAAAGCGTTCAGTTTGGCAATTTTGCTAAAATAAAAAGGTCACTTATTTATGTAATTCATTACACATTGCACATTATGTAAATATTATATTAAAAAAAATATTAGTTTTGTAACTGCTGCATTCTTTCTTCTATTTACATTAATATAACAATATTTAGCTACTATAACTTAAAGCAGATTGCTTGAACTTCCCGTACCGTAATAAAATTAAAAGTAGATTAATATAAGTACTGTAACTTTCTTTATTCGTATTTTATAGACAAAATATAAGAGCTTATAGATTGGTCGACGAGGTTTATATACGTTTACATGAAAAGTATATAAACAAAACTTAATCAAGCCAAGTTGAAATTAAAACTGAAATTTAAACTGAAGTGCAAAGTTAAAATTATTTATTTCTAGTATATAAGTGAGCCTTAAAATTTTAGCTAAAATTAAAATTAAAATCCGAATCATTTTCGATATTTAAAAAAAAATATTTTTTTGGAAACCTAATAATTTTCTTAATTGAATTAAGTTGTTTCAAATTCGACAGCACTTAAAATTATCTCAAGAATTGTGATTGATAAATAATATTTTTATTGTAATCATGTGTACCTATTAAAATTATACAAACAATAAAATATCGATGCATTTTATTAAATTCAGGAATTGATTAAACTTATCAAAATATATAAATAAAGATATATCGGAATTTTATTATGGTACGAAAAAATTTATGGACTTTCATATCTCAACATTCTCAAATATCTCAACATTAAATAAAATTTTGATTTCAAATCAAAAATTGTTTTGATTATTTTTTAATTTTAAAATTTTTGGATATCGATTTGTTGCCACATTTTAGACCTTGCTGATAAAACTATTTTTTATAATTATGTTTATTCTTCCAACTATATTTTATTGTTTTAAAAAATTTCATGAGCTAAGTTTAATTTTTTTCACAAAGTAAATTGTTAAGAATGAGTACTTAATTTTTAATCTAGTGAAATAAACCAGTTTTTGCCAAAACCAGGTACCAGATAACCTAATTTGATTAAATTTTAATATATACAAATAATTTTAGTTCTAAATTCTGTAAACAATAGCCAATTTAGATAAAAAGGTTTTTATTATCATTTTTTCTAGATTTTTATGAAACATACAATTTAAATAATCCAAAAACATTTTTTGTTACTCTGACAAAAATAATTCTTGTAAATTGTATTTGTTCAATTATGAAAGAATTTAAATCAGGTCGCAAAAATGTTAATTATTATATTATTTTTATTGTTCGCATATTTTTATAACAATTCACTTTTCAAGGCAAAATAATTTAATTTAAATATAAAATTTAAAAAATGTAATCAAAGAAATTCACTAATGACTAACTAAATGTCAAATTTCCCGCGTTATTTTTGCATAATTTTGTTAAAAAAGTTATGAAACGTTATATACAGATTTATAGATAATTTTATAACCTTTTCAACAGTATATAACGTTATTGTTATATTTAAAATATTTTTAATAAATTAAACGTGGATATTAAAAACTGAGCGACCAATTGAACTAATGTTATGAGATTTTATAAAATGACACACCGATTTTGCAATTAATTTATAAATAATTTTGTTATGAACGTGTAAAATAGCTATTTACAGAGTCTGTAAATAGCAATTTATCAAGTTCATAACAAAATTATTTATGAATTAATTGCAAAATCGGTGTGTCATTTTATGAAATCTCATAACATTAGTTTAATTGGTTGCTCAGTTTTTAATATCCACGTTCAATTTATTATAAATATTTTGAATATAACAATAACGTTTTATATTGTTGAAAAAGTTATAAATCTGTATATAACGTTTCATAACTTTTTTACCAAAATTATGCAAAAACTAATGTGGGAAATTTGAAATTTAGTTAGTCATTGGTGGATTTCTTTGGTAACATTTTTTTAAATTTTTGTTTATATAGCTAAAATTTGTTAAACTATATATATATATATATATATATATATATATATATATATTATAATATATCGTTGAAAAGCTTATAAAATTATCTACAACTCTGTGAATAGCAATTTGACAAGTTCATAACAAAATTATTTTATAAATTAATTGCAAACTCGTTGTGTCATTTTATAAAATTTCATAACATTAGTTTAATTGGTTGCTCAGTTTTTAATATCCACTTTTAATTTGTTATCTAAATTTTTTTCATAATTGTTCCGCTCAAGCATTCAAATTTTCTAATCATTTATCATACAATATTTTTTATATTTATTATTTCTCGTACAAAAAATAATTTTGATTCCATTTTTTCTCTTCCAGCAACCATCAGACAGATCAAACGGATCCCTTACCAATGGATCTTTCAACAACGGATCAAGCAACAGTTGTTCGCCTCCAAATAACGGATTATCGTCACCAAAAAACGGCGAAATGGATTCAGAAAAACAAAGATACAACTCCCAAACGGCGTCTACAAAAGCGGCAATATTGAGCACCCAGGAGGAATATGATAAATGTAGACAGTTGTACGATTATGACGAGGCACCAGCACATCTCAGGTAGGATATAAAAGATATATTTTTATCCAAAACAATATTTTTATTGTTATTTCTATTACCAGGTTCAATCCATTCATAAGATCAGGCTACAGAGGCATTCTGTCCACACAGATGTGCCTAGAATCAGTATTCTGGTGGACGAACGAAACCATCAATATTTGGTCACATCTTTTCGGGTATCTTTTGTTTTTGGGTTTGACGGTCACCGATTTGGCGCTTTTGCAAATACAAGCTGGATGGTTTGATAAATTGATTGTCGGGGCACTTTTGGGATGTTTTCAGGTAATAGGTTATAAGACTACAGCCTTGTCATTTTGAAAAATTGGTAATTTTTTTGCTAAAATAATAAATTGATTGTTGGACCTCTTCTGGGATGTTTTCAGGTTATATGATAAAAAACTACAGCTCTTATAGCAGCCTCATCACTATTGGTAATTTTTTTGCTAAAATGCCTCCTACTAGTTGGATGCCATTAAAATGATTAAGTTAATGAGCGAAGAAATTTTTATCAAGATAAATTTCTGGTTATCAAAATTTTATATACTCACACTAAGCTAGATCCAAAATTTTAATTTTTATTTTGTCATTGTCACTAACTTAAAGAAACTACTGGCATTGACTCTGATCCAAATCTATCCTTAATAGACATAAAGTCTTGAATTTTTTTCACTGAATAGAAACCTAAAAGGATGTGTGAGAATACAAATGAACTATTGGTCACTAGAATTTGATCCATTAGCTTTTGCCTAAAAGGTCAAGTGAGATACACCAATCCAGATCTACCACTAACTTAAAGGGGGATCAATTTTTTTTGCAAAAATGTCTTCCAAAACCAAATTCAAATTATTTTCGGAATTACAGAGAAATAGTGTTCTTTTAGATTCAACTCAAATAATAATTTTTAGGTTCAACTAGAATCTATACTATTGAAAATATATATCTGTTTTGATTTTTTTTTGTTTTGGATAGAAATTGTGACCTGCATCTTTCCCGCTAAATGTTACCAGCACACTTGTGGCGCATCGGCAAAATGCTTGTACCCTGCATATTATGACATATATTTCAATAAAAAAATTTGGAAGAATGTTGAGATATATAACAATAAAACCTTAAAGTTTAGTTTCAGTTAAATATTTATTTCCTTCTCAAAAAAGCGATTTTTTGAAGCACCTAAACTAGGCTCCCCACTTAAATAATAATTATCTATTTACCAACTTTATATCAAATGACGCTAATCTAAGATCTATCACTAACTGAAATGAAATCCGAACTTTTTATCCATCAACCATAACCTAGAAGGACGAATAAGAAATCTTTAATCTAGACAAATCCCTAACTTAAATAAATTTCTGGTTACCAGAATTTTAACCATTAATTCTTGTTTAAAAGAACTAGTGAGAAAACTCTGATCTAGACATATTACTAACATAAATAAACTACTGGCCACCAAAATTTTATCCAAAAAAGGCGAGTGGTAAAACTTAATCTGGAGCTATCAATAACTCATCAGAAATCTCTAACCTAGCACTAAATTAAATATACTACTGGTCATCAGAATTTTATCTGTTAATTCTTGCCTAATAATGTGTTATTTGTTGTGATATATTTGGTTTGATTATTATAATATAATTAATATTTGCTCAAAGTCAAATTAAACCTTTGTGCCACGCCCTGCTCTACATATATACTTTTTATTAATTTTACTTTAATTTATCGAATGTTGAAACTTTTCAAAAAGCAGGTCAAAGAAGAAATACGTCATTCATTTTCTATCATTCCTCGCAGAAATTTGAAAATTTTGTATAAGCTCAGTAGTATTATTTACAATTATAACGTATTTACGTTTTTATAATAACGCATTGTATATAGCATACTGAAAGTATTAATATTTTTGATTCTCTAGAAATTGTTTAGAATATACCTTACTTAGCAAAACAACGTTTGCCGGGTCAGTTAGTCTTAAATAAAATCCTGATTATTCAATTATTATCAATTGGCTCTAACCTAAAATGATGAGTGAGAAAACATTAATCTAGATTTGTCCCCAAACTCTTGGTTACCAAAATTTTGTCCATTAACTCTAACTTAAAATCCATCATCAGCTTCTCCTGGTAACCAAAATTTTATCTATTATTTTATTTTTTCCAGGCTTGCATGATCCTATCATCAATGTACCACACATTCTCCTGTCGATCAGAGCACGACTACAGAAGTTTCCTTGCATACGACCTGTTTGGCATCTCCTTAAGTCTCTTTGCCATTTACATCTCAGGAATATACTATGCATTCTGGTGCTTTCCGGTAAATATAATAAACCAAAACCATATTACAATCATTTTACAACATTTTTATTTACCAGGCTCTGAAGTTCTTCTACATGGTAACCGTGACCATCTTTTTCTGCGTTGCAATGGGCGTCCAATTGCCAAGATTTGAATGTTCTGATGCCATCAAGATGTTGACTTTTGTTATTTGGGCTGGTTATGGAGTTATTCCGACAATACATTGGACTATTGAGATGGGCGGATGGGAAAATGCAATGGTCAAGGTAACAGAAATAGATTTGGATGGACTTAAATTTTTATTACACATTAACTTCCCGTAGGGTAGTTATAGTAATGGGCGGAAATCTAAAATGAAAATTTTAGCATTTTTCTACGTTTTGAAGGTTTCTGAACATTTTGGCATACCTCAGAAAATATGAATGTGTGCGTGTATGTATGTGTGTGTGTGTGTGTTTTGTATGTCCGCATTTTTCGTTCACGTTTTCGGGCGCACGGATCAGTTCATTTGAATGGGTTAAAAAACATTCGATCCCTATTTATAGGAAGATGTGCTGATTAGTTTTTGGCAAAGGCAGGTCCAGTCGTTACGGAGATACGGAGCAAAGAGTGCAGAAAATACAAATCGAGTTTTTGAGATAACGGAGTATCGGATTTGAATGATCTAAAAAACATTCAATTTGTAATGATTGGGAGAAGAGATGATTAGTTTTTGTCAAAGACAGGTCCCGCCATTTCGAAGATACAGAGCTAAATGTGCAAAAAATGGCAGTTTTTGAGTGAACTAAGCGTCCGATTTGAATGATCTAAAAAACTTTCTGCTTGTATTGACAAAACAATTGCTTTTGAGGATAAAAAAAAATATTACTTTTTTTTATTTTCCATAGAATATTTTTGTAATTTTGGATTAAAAATACAGAAAATTACCCAGGCTAAGCACAGTCTAAGCGCCACTCTGGTATAAATGTTTATCCAAGTGAGTAAAACGCACTTTGAAAAATGTGAAAATGCCGCCAACCTAAGCACAGTATAAGTAAAAATGTCGCACAGAATTATTTGCAAATGCGTTTAGACTGTGACGATACTGGGAGCACTTTTTCAATTTTGTGTAAATTAGGTAACTATTTTTTTGAATTTGAATTCGAAATGAAATGACGATTGTTAATGTTCAGGAGATATATAGATTTATGAGTTACATTTGATTTGCTCAGATATATCAAGATAGCAAAATAATGAAAGTTACAGTATTTGTAATAATATATTTGTAAACGTTTAAAAATTTTCGAATATTTTATTATGGTACAGGAAGTTTCAGCAATTTGCCTTAAGGCACAATGCCATAAACCACTAGTACTATAGTTTTTTTTCCTGCTCTTTTAGTTGCTGTTACCACGTGTGCTCGGCATGTACCTGATATCAGGATTGGCTTTCCTGATCTACCTGACCAGGATACCAGAGCGTTGGTTTTCTGGTCGTGTCGATTATTTGGGACATTCTCATCAGTGGTGGCACATCTTTGTTGTTTTGGCACTTTACTACTGGCACAACTCTGGACTGATTTATATTGATTACAGGTAAAAAAGAGAAAATAAATCATCACATTTTGTTAACCATTATTGATGTAATAGATAAAATCCCCTTATCATAGATGAAAAGTTCTCACCAACTCGTAAGTTTTATAGTGTTTGGTTTGAGATCTTTTTACCGATGACTTTGTAGAAAAAGTAGACTGTTCACAAATATGGATTTATAAGTATATCCACGAAAGCAATAGTAGTGCTATATCCGGAAAATACAAATGAGAATTCTTCATTAATTAAAACCCTCTAACAAATTTGTCCTTTATCACCTTTGCATTTGGCGTTTAGTTTTAGGCACATCGACATTGTAAACAAATAACTGATAATTGATGATTATTATTATTAACACATTTTTTCCATAAGGAATGAACAAGTCAGTTTCCTTTCTCATTGGTGAAGTGGATCTGGATGTGTGTGTGTGTGTCAAGATGATTCGATGGAAGAAGTTTTAGAATGAATTTGAATTTATAAGTAATGTATAAGATTTGATTCATAACACTCATAAGATTTTATTTAGACAAAAAATAATGTTTTTCATAAATGTGTTTATATTATCACTAATAAATTGCCATATACCCCATTATCATTTTGAAGAAAATTTATACAAAAGACGTTTCGCTGAAGAACGTTTCATTCAAGTATATAACTAATATTCAAAATTAACGTCTATTGTGATAAAATCAATTAGTATAAATTATTTAAAATATTATAAAGCTTATTAAGTAATAAAAATGTATATTAGAAACTTTTTACAATTTTTTTGCTTTAAATTTTTTATCATTTTATCTTTTTTTCAGAATGCACAACGCCTGTCCAGGACAAAGCGAAATCATACCAATTGCACGTCCATACTAAAATAGCGAAAAAACAGAGCAAAACTAAAAAAGTTTTAAAATTTTAAACCAGAATATTCAACAACCCTTTAAAAACATCACGAAGAAAAAGTATTCAAGCTTAAAACCATGACATCAGCTTCCACAAAAAAAGCCCTAAACCAAGGATATAGTGAATGATTATAAAAATACTATTTGTTTGTAATTTTTAAAAAGATCAAATAAAAATAGAATACTATTTGAATTTATATTAATTTTATGGTAAATGTTATGTATATAGTAATAGTGAAAATTAAAATTTCATAAGCATCATTAATTTGAAAAACCAAATTTGTATTCAAGAGTAAAGACAATTTTTGTGTAATATTAAAATTAAAGCATATTTTTTTCAAACTCTAAAATAATTTAGAATTTTATCTGAAAAAATATTTATTATCAAATTGCTGATATAGATTTTTCTTATTAGTTTAAGTGGAATTTAGAATGATTTATTTTATATTTTAAGTTTTTGTTATAGACTATTAAGATATTGTTAAAAAATTGCGTTTATGTATTTGATAACTGTGATATCAAAACGACAATAAATTGCAAATAGCAAACGCATTTCTTGGCTTTTATTAGAAAAAATGTATATTTTCATTCTTATTTTATAACCACCCCAAGATAAGAGTAAATACCTTAAAATAAAAATGAGGACCTTGGCATAGAAACAAATATTTTAATGAAAATGAGGACTCCAGAATAAAAACAATTATTTTAAAATAGACTGTGAAATATAAATAAATATTCTAAAATATGAATAACAACTTTAGGGAAAAAAGTACTCTCAAATAAGACTCTGAAATAAAAATATATTTTTTTTAAATAGATAAGAAGGCTTTAAATTGAGAATGAGGATCGCTAAATAAAATAAATATGAGAACTAATAAAAATAAAAACTTTAAAATAAGATTGAAGACCCTCAAATAAAATCAAAGACTCTAAAATGAGATAGAGAACTCTTCAATAAAATTAGAGATTTTAACATAAAAATGAAATAAAAATATATATTTTAAAATAGATTTGAAGACTCTAAAGGGAAAATGAGGAATTCAAAGTAAAAATAAATATGAAGACTCTAGAATAAGAATGAGGGTTCTCAAATAAAATTGAAGAATCTAATACAAAAATGAGGATTCTCAAATAACATTAACGATTTTACCATAAGAATGAAATAAACATATATTCTAAAATATATTTAAAGACTCTAAAGGAAAAATGATGACTTCGAAGTAAAAATAAGCATGAGGACTCTAAAATAAAATAAAATCTCTAAAATCAGCATGAGGTCTACGAAATCAAAATATATATTCTAAAATGAACGATGACTTCAAAATAAAATAAAAATGAGGACTTTAAAATTAAAATAAGGACTTTAAAATAAGAATTAGGACTCTCAAACAAAATTAAAGATCAGAATATAAATGAGGACTAAAATGATAATGATGACTTCAAAATAAAATAAATATAAGGACTTTAAAATGAAAATCAAGGCTCTGAAATAAAAATGAGGACTCTCAAAGAAAATTAAAGACTAAAATAAGAATTCAAACTCTGAAATAAAAATGAATATTGTAACACAAGAATAAAGACTCTAAAAGTTAAAAGTAAGAATTCTAAAATAAGGATAAAGCCTGAAATTATGCGGAAGTCAAAATAAAATAAATATGAGGACTTTAAAATAAAAATATAAACTTTAAAATTTGCACAAAGGCTCTAAAATAAAAATTAATACTGTACAGTAATAATGAAGACTTTTAAATTTATGTATATATATATATATAATATATATATATATATATATATATAAGTAAATCGTAGTTTGTTCAATACAAATACTATTTAAAAAAACATATTGTTTGATCATTTACTTATTCAAACCGTACACTGCATCGTTATACAAAGTTTTATTACAATCACTAAAAACACATACATACTTTTACTAAATTTAGTCTCAAACGATTCAGAATGACTATAACGTCGACAAAATTTAAAATTAGTCCTTTTTCTATACCAATGTCGCCATCTTACGGCGAAAAGCGAACACGAAAATGAAAGCCGATTGTAAATCCAAGATGTCGTCCATCTTGTAACTTGTTACGCGCATTGTTTATATTTATGCTAAAAATCTGTGTGTTTAGTAAACAAAGTGTTATAATTACTCAAAGAAAATATATAAATATAAAAATACAACACCTGAATGATGTAAGTGTTACCAAAAACCTTTATAAATACATATAATTGTATTTATAAGTATATATAGTCGTAGTGTCAAAGGTTAGGTTAGCCTAAAACCCACAATATTTCTTATATTAAGCTTATATAACATGCAATTTATATTCCAGCCCATGTTTTACCATGGATCCTTTACGATGAGAACATTTCCTACACTTTTATAACCAAAATGCTCATGACATTTGCTTGAGCTTAGGTTATGCCGGAAAGCGATACTATTTTATGTGCAACAATAGAAATATTGTTGTACAAAGTGTTTTTTTTTTAAAGCTGCCAGAAATGGTGGTCGATTTTAAGGTTTTCTCTACAATGACTTCTTCTATTTCAGACTGTGACCCGATTAGGATCTTGCCAGTGCTGAAGCCAAGGGATAGAGATCTCGATATGCCATTACAACTAGATAATATATAATTGATTTTGATAATGATTAGATTTTTAGTTTTTGTTTAAGTTTTTAATTTGGAATTTATTATGTGGACGGTTTTTTAAGGTTTTAAATTCAAGCTTGGAAAAGGAATATCACATTAGTAGTCGGCACCACAAATCAATGATTCACTATTTTCATTACTAATATTAACTTGCATGCATGTACCTCTACAAACTTCTACTTTTATGCTTTCTGGTCTATCGCCTTGGGCGTACATCTGCATTCTCCTTTCCTTATGCTTTCAGTCTTTTTATTTTACCTTCGACAATGTCCTGTAGGAGACATTCTTTTTGTAGAATGGATCCGATTCACATTTTCTTTCCTGTTCATTATCATGCTCAGTAGAGTTTCTTCTTTTTTCTTCATATTTTTTATTTGGAATTTTATGTATTCACTCTACTTCTCCATTCCTCTTGAACCAGATTAATTAGTATTTGAGATATCTGAAAGAAAGTTTCAAAGTTTTTATATAAATGATGTTTGGGAGCGTTAATGCATGTTTCCGACTGTAAGTCACATCCAGTAAAATTGTAGACTTGTTAATATAAAAAGTGTTCTTTATTTTTCAACAATTTCCCAGATTCAATAGTACTCTAGTGTAGAGGCATGAATTTTAGGTCATTTTTGAATCATTGTAAAAAAGGCAATCAATTTTTTAACTATCATCTTTTTGATGATATGTATAATATTTAAAACCAATAATGTAATTAAAGTCAAAGTTCTAATATGACCTCATCAGTTTGCCGTTGTAATTAGCATTTAGAAATGAACCTTTGTTAGAGAAATGAAGTAATAGCTGATTAATAAATTCTATAATATTCGTTCACACAGTGGATTATGTTAAACAACGCCTAAACAAATATTGTTTTCGCAACTTCTCTCATCATGTAATAATTGTGTTTGAAGAACTTCATGTAATTAAAATTAACATACATTCATTGACTGCTTGTATTTTTTTTTACTTTTTCGCTGGCGATTTAATCTCATTCTTTGAACAGCTGTAATATCTGTTTTGCCTAAAAAATATTTTCCATTTCAATAACTTCAAAGATTTATAGAAACTACGAATAACAAAGGAATTATTTCAATAAACTTATGTTCCATACATGGCGCAAATGCTGCATTTGTTTTATTATTTTCATTATAATTATTTATGGGAAACAGGGTAAAATATTCTTCTGATTCAGGCATTTTTCATTAAATCAAGATTTGTACTACAATGTAACTTCAAAGTGTTTATTTATCTATTCCGATTTCCTTGTTGATATCGGTACTAATACAACGTTGATGCCGGTACGCATACAACGACAGATCTCTATTCACATACACGACGACTAATCACAATCTTTTGACGACAATGACGAATCTTTGGCATTCGACTCTTATCTTATCTGCCAAAATTTTGTCTAAGGTATGCCAAAATGTTCAGAAACTTTTGAAACGTAACGACATACAAATTTTCATTCTAGATTTTTATGCAATTACTATAACTTACCCTACGGGAAGTTAAAAATGATAGTATAAAAATTGATTCCTTCCTTTAACGATGATTTGAAAATGACCTAAAATTTATACCTCTACACTAGAATACTCCCTTGATAAGATTTGTAAGCAATTCATCAATTTTATAACATATATTCATTTTGCAAATCAAACACAAGCAAATCTTTTTAGTTATAAACTTATATGCAATAAAGGAAATATTGTCAAGAGGTTAAAATTTGGCTTGCACTTTTTTTTTAATTTCGGTGTCAAACGATTCAGAATGACTTGAAACGTCAACAAACATAAAATAAGCAAATCGGGTGCAAAATATAAGCTTGTTCATGAAATTAATATTAAATTTGTCAAATAAAACAATTAATAAACATCATTAATTTTGGGATCATTTGTTGTAAGCTTGAATTTTAAATCTTAAAACTTCGTCACATTAAAAACATGATCCTAAAATCACTAAACAATAATTTTTCTTCTAGATTATTGAATCAATGTAAGTTTTATTTTCGCTGCTATCGAGTTTCAATTCAAAAATGGATTGGAAAAAGGAATTGGAAATGGAAATGGAACTCAGTTTCAATTCCAATATAGAAACCCAAAAATCTCTCCCGGATGCTACTTTAGCTTGCGAAATTGTTATGGAAAACCAGGATTCACCGGATGACAAAAAATCAATTACCCTTTCAGAAGACTGCAAAACCGAAGTAAAAATCAAAACTAAAAAAAAGTCAGTCCAGAAAGTTAAGCTTGTACACTCATGTGACGAATGTGATAAAGTATGCAAAAATTTATACCTTCTAAATAGGCATAAAATGGTCCATGCAGAAGATTATTTAAAATGCAAAGTGTGTCAAACACAATTCAACGATGCAAATAACTTACAAAAACATATGTTTATTCACACAAACAAGAAATCATATCGTTGCCATATTTGCAAGCAATCATTCACATTTAATTGTAGCTTAAAACGACATCTGAGAATACACACTGGTGTTAAACCATACTCGTGTGATGTTTGTAATAAGAAATTTGCAGACGTTGGTAATTTAAGGAAGCACGAGAGGAGATATCATTCAAAGGATTTTCCTGATGGGCCTAAACCGCTTCATGGTGCTACTCTTGCATTACATAAAAAGAGACAGGAAGAAAAAAGAAAAAAATTTAAGATAAAAATAAAGAAAGATAAGATTAGAAGTTTTTGCTCAGATGTTAAACGTATTTTTAGAAACAGAAAGAGGAAGGTTGAAGACGATGATTATGATTCATCTGATTTGGAACCACTGAGCAAAAAGATTAAAGCTAATTCAGATAAAGTTCATCCCACTTACAAACCTCAGGCTATCAACAAATGTGACAAGGTTGCTGTGGTTCTTTTGAAAGGGATTAATTTAGACAAATATTGCACCAATAATGCCCAAGGTTGTGAACAAAATGTATCACCCAGTTCTACTGCTGATGAATCTAATTCTGTACCCGGTTTGATCAATATTGAAGAAAAACCTACTGAAAAAATATGCCAAAATAAAGTTCTGGATAAAAATATCAAGGGTAAAGGTATAAGGAACAATAGTTGTCCAACTGCTAATAAAACAGTTGTTAGAAAGTCATTGATTCCCAAAATTAACATTAATATTGGTCATCATGATGAACCACTAAAGGAGCATGAAGAAAATAATGTAACAGAGAAGGGCGTCTGTCTAACATCTACACCAACTTCTACAGCTTCCGAACCAACATTTAAAGATGATGAAGGGATGAAGAAAAATGATCTTCCGGATGATACAAATCCAATCAGTACAGAATCATCAATTTCATCAGTAAAATCTTCAAGAGGTATTACACAAGAGCAGCCTGGTGATGCCTTGAATTCAACAGAGAGGAGGATGGCTGAAGACGATGATCATGATTTATCTGATTTGCAACCACTGAGTAAAAAGATTAAAGCTAATTTAGATAAAGTTCATCCCACTTACAAACTTCAAGCTATCAACAAAAGTGACAAGGTTGCTGCGGTTCTTCTGAAAAGCATTAATTTAGACAAATATTGCACCAATAATGCCCAAAGTTGTGAACAAAATGTATCACAGAGTTCTCCGGCTGATGGATATAATTCTGTACCCGGTTTGATCAAAATTGGAGAAAAACCTACTGAGAAAATATGCCAAAAGAAAGTTCTGGATAAAAATATCAAGGGTAAAGGTATAAGGAACAATAGTAGTCCAGCTGCTAATAAAACAGTTGTTAGAAAGTCATTGATTCCCAAAATTAACATTAATATTGGTCGTCATGATGAACCACCAAAGGAGCATGAAGAAAATAATATAACAGAGAAGGACGTCTGTCTAACATCTACACCAACTTCTACAGCTTCTGAACCAACATTTGAAGATGATGAAGGGGTGAAGAAAAATGATCTTACGGATGATACAAATTCAATCAGTACACAATCATCAATTTCATCAGCAAAATCTTCAAGACGTAGTACACAAGAGCAGCCTGATGATGCCTTGAATTCAACAGAGAGGAGGATGGCTGAAGACTATGATTATGATTTATCTGATTTGCAACCACTGAGTAAAAAGATAAAAGCTAATTCAGATACAGTTCATCCCACTTACAAACTTCAAGCTATCAACAATTGCAACAAGGTTGCTGTGGTTCTTTTGAAAAGGATTAATTTAGACAAATATTGCACCAATAATGCCCAAGGTTGTGAACAAAATGTATCACCGGGTTCTTCAGCTGATGGATCTAATAAAACAGTTGTTAGAAAGTCATTGATTCCCAAAATTAACATTAATATTGGTCATCACGATGAACCACTAAAGGAGCATGAAGAAAATAATATAACAGAGAAGGACGTCTGTCTAACATCTACACCAACTTCTACAGCTTCCGAACCAATATTTGAAGATGATGAGGGGATGAAGAAAAATGATCTTCCAGATAATTTAAATCCAATCAGTACACAATCATCAATTTCATCAGCAAAATCTTCAAGAAGTAGTACACAAGAGCAGCCTGATGATGCCTTGAATTCAACAGAGAGGAGGATGGCTGAAGATGATGATCATGATTTATCTGATTTGGAACCACTGAGTAAAAAGATTAAAGCTAATTTAGATACAGTTCATCCCACTTACGAACCTCAGGCTATCAACAAAAGTGACAAGGTTGCTGTGGTTCTTTTGAAAAGGATTAATTTAGACAAAAATTGCACCAATAATGCCCAAAGTTATGAACAAAATGTATCACAGAGTTCTTCTGCTGATGTATCTAATAACACAGTTGTTAGAAGGTCATTGATTCCCAAAATTAACATTAATATTGGTCATCATGATGAACCACTAAAGGAGCATGAAGAAAATAATATAACAGAGAAGGACGTCTGTCTAACATCCACACCAACTTCTACAGCTTCTGAACCAACATTTGAAGATGATGAAAGGATGAAGAAAAATGATCTTCAGGATGATACAAATTCAATCAGTACACAATCATCAATTTCATCAATAAAATCTTCAAGAAGTAGTACACAAGAGCAGCCTGGTGACGCCTTGAATTCAACAGAGAGTATTATGGACTTTTTGGAAGAATTGCTGTCTATGTCTGATGATGATTTTAAAGACGAAAGTCAGTTACTTGAAGGAGGTAAAACTAAAGATTGTCCTGAAGAAACTGAAATATCAGAATCAACAAATAAAGAAGTAATAGATGTACCAGACAATGGTGCAACCAAAACAGAAGCTTGTAAACTTGTTGAACAAGAGATTGAGCGGATTCTAAAAGATAATGGTAAGTCCCCAAAACATTCAAATGAAGATTCCAATACAATACAAGAAGAGACAAAACAAATTGCTGCCAATGACAACAGATTAAGTGAGCCAAGACAATCTCAAAACAGTTCCATGGACGCTACATGTCTATACAGTATAACAAGGTTTGATAAATCTTTAGAATGTTCAGAAAAACTAAATATTACTAACAATGAACCTTTACTGAATGGGCAAACAAGTTCAACAGAAAACTCTAATGATGAATCATGCTCATCAGGATTTAGCATGCCTATATTAGACATGGAAGACCACAAAGCGACCGAAAACACAAAGAAGCAAATAGCAAATGAGCTGAAGGAACAATCTGTTAATAGCAATGACACAACAGAGTTGCAGAAAAAACAATCTGTTAATACTTTGGCTGATGGACACACAAGTTCAACAGCAAAATCCAATGATGAGTCAAGCTCACAAGAATTTAGCTTGCCTAAATTAGACACTAAAGATCACAAATTAGCCGAAGGGATAAAGAAACCTAATGCAAAGGAGCAGAATAAAGAATCTATTAATAACAATGATACAAAAGATTCCACTTTGGCTGATGTACAAACAAGTTTACCAGCAAAATCTAATGATGAGTCAAGCGCACAAGTATTTGGGATGCCTATATCTGATATAGAAGAACAGAAATCTACCAAAGGAACAAAGAAACCTAATACAAAAGAGCAGAAGAAAAAATCTGTGAAGAAAGATAGAATTAAGAAGCTAACACCTACAGAAAAACAATGTGTAGAAACAATGAAACCAGGGAGTAAAAAATCTATTGAAATTGCTAAAGCAATTGAAGATGATATAAAAAATAAGGAAAGCAAACAACATTTGATGAAAGCAGAAAGTCAAAAACCGGCAAAAGCAAATGAATCTAAAAAAACGACAGTAAATAAAACTACAAGAAAATCTGTTCAGGAAAAGGATCAACATGAAAATAGTAAAAAGCAAGATGACATGGATCAAGCAGTATCATCTGAAGGAAAAGTCAAGACAACTCACAAAACAATACAGATGAAAATTCTTCTTCAGTTGAAGATGATGAGGCTGCTAATGAAAAAGCTATGGATATTCTCAATTATTTGCAAGACTTGTGCTTTATAGATGATCTTCCTGAAATTATGGGCGACCAGGCAATATCAGATTCAAATATTATGGACAAAACTGTTATACAAGGAACTGATGAAAATATAAACAATTATGATATGGATACATCGTTTAATTTGGATGAGTTATCTACCAAAGCTTATGATTCACTGGTGAACGAAGAAAAAGATACTGATAAAAGATAAAACAGATGAGACATTAGAAGAATCTAAACATAATAAGACATCAGGGACTGATGTTCAGTCAGAAGAATCTGATCACACTAAGACACCAGTGACTGATGTTCAGTCAGAAGAATCTGATCACAATGAGACATTATTGACTGATGTTGCATCAGAAAAAATGTGATCATAAGAAGACACCAGTGACTGATGTTGCATCAGAAGAATCTTATCATAATAAGACACTAGTGACTGATGTTCAGTCAGAAGAATCTGATCACAATAAGACACCAGTGACTGATGTTCAGTCAGAAGAATCTTATCACAATAAGAACCAGTGACTGATGTTCAGTTGGAAGAATCTGATCATAATAAGACATTATTGACTGATGTTCAGTCAGAAGAATCTGATAATAAAAAACACAGTGACTGATGTTCAGTCAGAAAAAGCTGATCACAATAAGAAATCAATCACTCATGTTGCATCAGAAAAAATTTGATCACAATAAGATCCAGTGGACTGATGTTCAGTCAGAAGAACCTGATCATAATAAGACATCAGTGACTGATGTTCAGTCAGAAGAATCTGATCACAATAAGACATCAGTAATTGATGTTCAGTCAGAAGAATCTGATCACAATAAGACACCAGTGACTGATGTTCAGTCAGAAAAATGTGATCATAAGAAGACACCAGTGACTGATGTTGCATCAGAAGAATCTATCATAATAAGACACCAGTGACTGATGTTCAGTCAGGAAAAAGGCCTGAGCACAATAAGAAATCAACCACTGATGTTGCATCGGCAGAATCTGATCATAAGAGACACCAGTGACTGATTTTCAGTCAGAAGAATCTGATCATAATAACACGTCAGTGAGTGATGATCAGTCAGAAGAATCTGATCATAATAAGAAATCAATCACTGATGTTGCATCAGAAGAATCTGATCACAATAAGAAATCAATCACATGATGTCCGTCAGAAGAATCTGATCATAATAAGACATCAGTGGACTGATGTTCAGTCAGAAAAAAGCTGATCACAATAAGAAATCAATCACTAATGTGCATCTGCCCATAAGAAGACATCAAAAAAATCTAAGCATAATAAGACACCAGTGACTGATGTCAGTCAGAAAAATCTGATTATAAAAAAGACACCAGTGACTAATGTTGCATCAGAAGAAATCTGATCACAATAAGAAATCAATCCACTAATGTTGCATCAGCCCCTAGAAGACATCAAAAAAATCTAATCATAACAAAAAATCAATCACTGGTGTTACATCCACCAAAAGGAGACGAAAGTAAAACGACCACCAGGTAGACCTCGCATATATCCTGTAAAACCCAAATTATCATTAATGTATTTGATCCTGATGGAAAACGTTATTAGAGGGAAAGGTAGACGCCGAATGGCGCTGTGAGACCTCCCAAAAAGATCAGAAAACCTTTTCCAAAAGTAAAAGATGGTATAGACTATAAGAATTTGTCTATTTTTAATTTTTTAGGAAGATACAAAATCAGAGGAAGGTAATAATAAGACAGATTCAGATAGAAAGACAGTTAGAGAACAACAACAAACACAATCAGCACAAAAAACTGAAGCTGATGAGATAAAGTCCACAGATGACTCAAGTGCTCAACAAATAATTGAGAAACCTGATGAAACAACATCATCATTAAATAATTCAAGTGCAACTCAAGATTGGAGGCCAACTCATCTAAAGACAAGACGCTGAACCAACTAATATTGCACAAACATCCTTCAAGTCACCAAATGAAACTCAAGATTTTGATTTTTGAAGTTTCTATTGCATCAGACGAGTCAAATCAAATCAAAGTCAAAGTTCATCAATTCTCTGATACAGCTCAAGATATTGTGAGAAAACAAAGTAAAGAGACATTGTCTACACAATCTAAATTCGATGAGCAAACTAAAGATGCAAATACATTCATCCAGGATATGGAACTTGAAAACTCTTTTGCATCAGACCAGTCAAATGATGCACTTTATATTGATGAGACCCATTCATCCTCAAAAGATATTGAGGCTGACAAGTTTAAAGAGGTCCGGTCTACACAAAATAAATCTGAGATGACTGATGAGCAAACTAATGATGCAAATACATCCATCCAGGATATGGAACTGGAAAATTCTTTTGCATCAGATGAGTCAAATGATGCACTTTATATTGATGAGACAACTTTATCCTCAAAAGGTATTGAACCTGAAAAAATTTAAAGAGATACGGTCAACACAAATAAATCTGGAAGACTGATGAGCAAACTAAAGATGCAAATACATCCATCCAGGATATGGAACTGGAAAATTCTTTCGCATCAATGAGTCAAGTGATGCCCTTCACATTGATGAGACAACCTGTTCTATCTCAGCCTCAAAATATATTGAATCTAACAAGACGGAGACAATGTTGCACAAAATAAATCTGGCAAGACTTATGAGCAAACTAATGATGCAAAATAATTCCCAGAGCCAGCAGATTATTCCCAGAAAAATTCTTTTGCATCAAACTCATCCTCAAAATACATTAAAGAGACAATGTCCACTGATGATCTAAAAACATCCATCCAGGCAGCAAATAAATTCCAAGATTTTGACTTTGAATCTTTTGCATCAGATGATTCAGACGATAATGCACTCTTCATCGATGAGGATAATCATTCAATGTCAACTGATGATGAGTCTAGTTCAAATTCTTATTCATCAGACGAATCAATTGATGCACTTCACATTGGCGAGACAAAATATTCTATGTCATCAGATGATGAGTCAACAGATTCATCATCTGATAACTCTGTTGCATCAGTTAAACCCACAAAAAATTATTTTTCAAATTTTAGGACTAGAAAATCTTTTGCATCAGATGAGAAAACAAGAACTGGTAACTCTGTTGAGCATAAAAAGTCTGGAAACTCAGTTGAACCAGATGAGTCAATTACTCCTCCTTCAAATAGTGAGACTGAAAATTTCCTTGAGTCAAAAAATAATAATCGGTGTACGAGTGTTGTTCCAGATAATGCAAAAAGTAATAATATAGGCTTAAAGTGTTCGAGATTCGGAAGAGGACTTTACAAATGTTTTAGAATATTAATAATAGAATAGAAATGTGTACCTGATTATTATTATTATAA